GATGACACTTTCGGTCAGATGACAACGAATGCTCATTCTGAATCAATGTAGCGCTCATTCTTAAACAACGTAGGATTCATTCTCACACAACTGTTCATCACAATGTAGTGTTCATTCATAGCCAGCGAGACGACAACATAGGGTTCATTTTGAATCCACGTAGTGTTCATTCTAAGACATCGTAGGGTTGACTTTCACAGTCTGCTCAGTGTAGTGTTCATTCTGAAATAAGGCAGTGCTCATTCTCAAACAAGGTGGTGCTCATTCTGAAGCATGTCATCTGACCGAAAGTGTCATCTGACCGAAAGATGTCATCTGATTGGAGTCAATCCCTATATATATATATATATATATATATATATATATATATATATATATATGGGATTGACTCTGGTTAGATGACGAGTTTCGGTAAGATGACCATTCCCATCAGATGACACGCGCTCCTTAGTCTTTTTTTTCCGCTCTCCTTGCCCAGACTTCTTTCTTCTTGGCCCAGACTTCTTTCTTCTTGGCCAGACTTCTTTCTTCTTCGTCGCTTAGCCCAGTCTTCTTTCCCAGCTTCATCTTTCTCCTTCGACCCAGTCTTCTTCTTCGTCGCTCCCAATCGCCATCAATTTCTCTTCTTTCCCAGCTTCATCTTTCTCCTTCTACCCAAATAAACCCTAATCACTTCCCAATCGCCATCGCCCAAGCTATCACGGCTATCTCCCTAAGCTATCGCAGCATATTCTCTTTGGTTTTGGATTTTCTCTCCAGGTTTAGTGGCGCCACTAATAAAGGTATTTTTTCTCCCCCTGCTGAAGCTGCTTCTGTATCATCTTTGAATATTACTTTTTTCTCCCCTCCTAACTCAAATTTGGAGTCCTAATCCAAGACGAAACTCTGATTTCCAGTCCTTATAAAACGCAGCAGCGAGCAGCAAAGGAAGGGGGAGAACACGACCAGGGCAGCAACAAAGAAAAATAGAGCAGGGTATGACCCTATGGGGTCTGGACTTCGGTCCAGCCCCTTCCCCCCATTTTTCCTTGTTATTATTTCTTTAGTTATACTTTGGATGTTACAGTAGGATTTTAATTCAAACAACTGTATTAGGTATGTTGGTGATTGGTGTTTTCCTACTCCAGTAACTAAAACTGTTGTTTGGCACAGTTTTAAAATTAAAAAGGGGATCAACTCCAGACCCAATTTTTGCATCTTTATCTGGGTGGTATTCAACAACATTGTTTACAATGTATGTCTGGTCATCAGCAGATAAAGGATCACCGTCGTTCAACCTATAATCCCAACAAACAAACAAAGAAACAAAAGCAAAAAAGGTTAGTACGGGATAATCGTCTCACTTTCCATTTTTAGCAACAAAATAGCATCATACGTAGAAAGATCATATTCAAGACTTAGTTGAAAGGCACAGTTAGGGAAGTAGAAGTTACCCTGATTGCATTATCCTTCTGATGTTTTGCATGATGGGATCAAGCTCAAGGACAATCTCTTGCTCCTCTGATGTAAATCTTTTGCATGATTTTCATGCTTCTTAATATCTCTTTTTTTTTGACTGGCTGGTTTTGTTTAGTTTTGCTTCTAATACATTTCTCTTCAATTTGAGCCATGTTTTTGTTCATTTGAGCTCTGGTTTGGTTGAATTTTTATATATGTTAGAATGTTCACTGCTCAAGTACTTTAATATTGTGCTTTTGTGCTGTTAGGCTTAGAGGAAATTTGAGTGAGTTTGTATTCTGGACTTTTCATGTAGTGACCTTATTCTTTAGGTAATTTAATAGCATTTGAAAGCATGGAAGTTGAAGGTGGAAAAAAAAATCATGGAAAAAAAAGGTTGGTTCTTATCTTTCTCAAACACACATCACTTTAAATTTATTAACCTAAAATTTTAAACTTATGTTTTTTGTGTTCTTGTTTTTTTTAAGGAAACAAGTTGAGTTTGCTGTGGAAGAGCACACTGCTGAACCTTGCACACCTGCAGCTCCATCGACTTCCATAGTTCTTAGGAAAAGTCCACGTCTTTTATGTTTAGAACAGTCACCCACTGCCCTTGTCCCCAATGCAATCTTTAATAGGCCAAAACGAGATGTTGCGACTATTTTAGAAAGTATAGTTGATGACAAAGATTATAAGACTCGTATGTCTCCGAACGGCCTTTTTAACCTCTTGCAGAGGTTAAATGGT